TACCAACAGTTAAGCCAGGTTTGAATCTAAAAGGCTGTTGATATTTGTGTAATAAAGAACTTTTAATTACCACCGTCTGCGAGTTTCACTGCCGAGAATATGAGGTGTTTTTTGTTTTTTTTACACCTGCTTTGTTCTTTTTGCTCATTGATGAAATCAGTGACTGAAAAAGCAAGAAATAATAAGTCGAAAAAAAGCCAATGGTGATAACTTCTAACAAGTTAGGTCATCTTGTAGTAGAGTGTAAGTCTATGAAAAAAAAAATCAAGCTATCAATTTTCATCTCATTTATGATCCCTTTCAAAGCCACCAGACCTCAAAAATAAGTCTTCCTACCCTCACCCCCTACTGGTCGCAGTAAAAGGCTACTGCCACCAGATTTTTAACTGTTAGATGGTGATTTCTAACTGTTAAAAGGGAGTTTTTTTTCTTTCCACTATTGCCAGTACTTGTTGGGATGGAACCCCCAAGAAAGATCTGCCGACTTCAAAGGACAGAAGAAATATGTCTTATCAGACATTGGTGATCCAAGGACACTGACATAAAGGCTCTTAAAAGCTCTTAGCATGCCTTGTGTTGTGTGGGTGTTTTTGGTGTATTCTGACTCTCTGTTGAACTCAGCTGCCACACATTTTTCAGTGTCCACCTGTTCCCAATCAGCTACCCAACAATATAAGTGCTGGCTAGGAGCTACTTGGTTAGTTAGTGTGTGAACTGGCCTTGAAAGTGGAGAGGTGTTCAGGTGTCCTTTGTGCATCTGTTCTTGAGATTAGTGTTAGTTGGGTGTCAGTTTGGGTTTGCTGAGGTATTTTTCTTTGCTGCTATAGTAGTGTAGGCTTCTCTTTGTGTTGGGTCTTTATATATGTATATATAATGTATGTATGTATATATATATATAACTCTTTAATCTATACAAACTACCCTGTTTGGCTTGTTTTTCTAATTGGTTCTTAATTATTGCTCACCCCCCTTCCCTGGCCCTTGATGGGGATAGACCAAAAGCCATTTTGGTTTCTTCTGGTTTGACTCACATTCTGAGAAAAGGGGCAATGATCAGTGAGAAGCTGTAAAGCATCATGCCAAGAAAGAACACGACAAATTTAATGTTTGTTTCGAAAGTGTTAAAGAAGGCACATACAGAAGGTTCACTGTATTTTTTGTGGATCTAACGGTAAATGGATTGTCTCTCATACAGTCCTTTTCTGCTCCAGTGATGCACTCAAAGTGCTGTATAGAACATGCTTCGTTCACCCATTCATACAAGTGCTTTTTTTCTATGCCCAAGTGCTTCCTAACATTTGTGCACAATCAAAC